CTTTGTAGACCTATCCCTAGCACTGACGTAGCTCTATAAGAAGGGTAACAAGTTGTAGTGACGTCACACCACATCTGTAGTGACAAGAGTGACCTCCCGCCCTCCGCCACCTCCGCAACATACGTACCGGCAAAGCATCAGTTGCTACATCGCTCGCGGCTGCTGCAGCTAGCCATTGCAACTGTCAGCGCATTTGTTTTGCTGGTGCTTGTGCGGCATGTGTGGGTCAGAGCAGACAATACTCACATGACATGCATCACAGTGTGGTCACATGACCAAGCCGTCTAAACTGCAACGTCATTGCCCAACTCGGTGCCCAAAAACTGAAACCGGAAATTGTCCACGTAACAAAAGGCGATATTAATCTTTTAGCGAGAATAAAAGAATTTTGGTGTGTGTATCTTGCTTCCTTGAACTATAAGAAACACTTGCACCAAAGAATGTGCAAGCCACAAATGTGGTGGCACCACCCCTTTAAGAAATAACAGTTTTATATACAGTATTTAAAGCTGACAGGAATGGGGAGGGTGATGTCTGCTAAAAATTAAACGCCACGTGAGTTATCTGCTTCCATACACCATTTTCCAAGTAACCATGGAATGAATTATGTAAAGGTACTTTTTTCGTCAGGAATGGATCACCGCAAATATTTTCACAATGCGTCTCCATCTAGTACAGGGAGAGTTACAAATATTTGTCGCACGCTGCATCTTTTTTCTCTCGTCCCAACGAAAGCACTGGGAGCTAAGCAGGGATGGGTGGATCGAAGGAAGAAGGTACGTCACCACGCCTCTTGACCTTGAGCACTTTCTCTCTCTCTCTTTTTTTTTTTCTTTGAATGTGCACCTTCTCAGTGCAACCGCGTCAGCATGCATGGACAGGTTGCAGCCTCTCAAAGCAGCCAAAGTAACTCCCAAGCGTACCATGCTCAAATCAGCCAATGACATAATACTTGGGCCTGTGATGCACCGATTTTTGAGTGTGTAGCATCATTTGTGAAGAGAAGTGAATAGCAATTTTTAGCTGACTTACGAGAATTTATTGTCAATACAATGCCCAGTGATGTGATTGGCCCAAGCCACTTTGGAGCAGCTTCTGGAGCAGCTAAAATCATGTTTTGGAGCAGGTCAGCATGGTTTTGGAGCAGGCGTACGCGTACGGTATCGCATAGTGCGACGGCAAATGATGACCATTTGCACAAAGAATAAAACCTTGATTCAATGTTACATACGCAAACCAGAGCACACTGGACAAATGACAAAGATATGAAGCCCAAACTACAAATTATGCATACGCAAACCACAGCACACTGGACAAATGACAAAGATATGAAGCACAAACTACAAATTATGCATGGCAATAAAAAATTCCAAGAAAAACCTACACACGCCCTCTCATTTGAGAAGCTTAAACACCAGTTTAGAAATCCCCGAGAAAAATGCTGCAAAGTCACCTACAAAACAAAATTTGCTGCCTCAGGTAACTAAGTTGCAGACCTTTTCTTGGCACAGGTGAGTTTTGCCAATGCTGATGCAAGCCTGCTTTTGCCTTCTGCTAGAAGTGAATGCCCACTTTCAATGTCACCAAAGTCCTTGGACTTCACTCCCCGCCCAATCAGAAGCTCAGCATTGCAGATCATTTTTTTTGCTGTTTCCACTTCAGCTTGTACAGCCTGTTCAGCATCATCCTTTTCGGGTGATTTACTTGAGTCCGTACACCTTCGCTTAGCTATTGACTCTTCTGCAGCAATTCGCTCTCTGTACCTTTTGGAAGACCCCTGGACAGCCTTGATAATAGTAGGAGTGACCACAAACTTGCTTGGGTCTCCACCAAACCGTTTTGCATGTGAAAGAATCTGCCGAATGCCGTTAACATTATGAATCGTCAAGCGGGTCTTTTCGAGGAGCATGCGGCGGTTCTCACTGAAGCCCCGTTCCAGGTCTGCATTACCATGCAGGCGCACTGCACGGAATAAACTGAGTCTCGGAAGGGGGGGTTCAAGATTGCTGTGAGGCACCAGCCGAAACTGCACAAACAAATAGGACAACGCAAGTCGCTTTGCTTACCTTTCAAAGCTTTCGAACGGCAACCCGCCATTTCCGATGTTGCATGCGGCCATGCGGCCATGGAGGCTTCAGCGGTTGAGCGTCTCTGCGTCACTAGTAGTGACTCACTACCATCAGAAGCACCTCCTAGCCAGCAAGGCTGCTCTCGCGGCGAGCCTGCCAGCAACCATGGCAGTTCACGAATGGCTCCAGTTTCGGTTTCAGAACTGGCAATGCAAATGGCAACTTCTGGCGCAGACTCGGCGCAGATTGCTCATATTTGACCAGAATGGCGCAGGCTGGCGCAGCTATCACATCACTGAATGCCACGTGCTGCACTATAATATTTGGCTCACATGTTTTCGGTAGCTTTGACTACCAATCTGTAGCATATTTGACCACGCTCAAAAGGTGTTGCAGGGCCCCTTTAAGTATACAGTTTTTCCAACTGAGGCACTTAAGACCAGCATGACTGTGGTTGCTCCTAACATATGCAGAGTGCCTATTGGCTTTATTCGCTTTCACAATGTCAAGGGTGGAAACGGGCTTCAGTGTTTTGGAGCAGCTAAGGGAGCAGGAATAATGCTGTTTAAAAGCAGGTTAGGAGCAGTATTAGAGGTGTTTTGGAGCAGCTTTAAAACATCAAAAGGTGTGCTTTGAAGCAATGCAATTTAGTTTTGGAGCTGATTTCCAGGGCCAAACATGACTGTCAATTGAAATTTCTTATTCCTCGTTCAAACTAAAATTCCACAGGTCTTTACTGAGCATTCAGTACTGATCAACCCACCAGATTAAATAACCCCTGAAACCAGATTTGAAAACTCGAGATGCCTGTTTTTTTTTTTTTTTTAAGAGTCCTGCGTGCTTCTGACCGATTATTAGTGATAAGCACTGCCTATAGAATACTTTAATTTAGTTTAAAGTAAGGGTGAGTGCTCATCCAAGTATTCTAGTCAAATCGACATTTCCTGTGATTTGATATAGACAGGGACATGGACATGGCAGAGATCATGGCAGAGATCAAGCAAGTATTGTTGATGTCAGAGAACACTTCCGGGCGTACACAAAAGCCGACAGGCACCCGGCAAGGACTACTGTTCATAACCTCACTAGCGCTATTGTCGAGCAGCTCCCAAGGTGGTCTTGGCGGCATACGTCAGGAATGCTTCTTTTTTTTTTTTTCCGAGGCTAGAGTCCACTAGTCTCAGGAGCTGCCCCACCGTGGGGCGCTACTCTCTTATGGTATTTAAGAGGGCGTTTTGAAGTGACCCGAAATTGTTCTGAATTAACAATGCTAGAATTAATTATACAATGCATTAGAGTACTTAGGATTCAATTTCGGCATAACTAGATGCAAAGCAATAAATTACAGTAAAAAAGTCGCAAACAAAACTTTCGTTGTCCTTTATGCTAAACCTTTAATGCTAAATTATCAGTAGACTCTCAAAGAATGGAAGTCTGTTAAACGGAACACCTGCCTTCAGCACGATTGGTCCTCCACCCTTAATGATCTCTCAGTAAACGAAACTCCTGTTAAACGGAACACATTTTCCCGATCCCTTCAAGTTCCGTTTGGCGAGAGTCTACTGTGTGCGTACAAGTGTTTGCATGTATGTGCACATGTGCGCGAGCACGCTCATATATTCCCATCATTAAATGATCGCTGCTGACAGAGCAATAACTCAGAGAAAGGAAGAAAAACTAGTGCTTTTGATAACTACATTAGACTAGACCTCACAAGAATGAGAAGCATCCCCGTTCATAAAATACCATAGCTGACAGGAATAATTGAAAGCTATAGTTGACTCAGAAAGGTTACCTTCATTCTAAATCCAATAAGACTAAATAGTAAAAATAATTTGCACATAAAGATCAAATTTTCAGTCCCAATTTTCTCCCACCATTTTCCAGATGAAGCTCAAAACGATAACATTGCCCCACACATCTACGTTCTAGTAAAAGCTCTAGTGGAAACAAATGCGGCCGAAGGGATGAAACGAGCCAGATATCTACGTTGCATGAAAGGTGCGTGCGAAAACTTCATCCTGCGTGGGAGGCCTACAGTCAATTGCTCTTCCCCACTTGTGTTTTGTCTAGTGAAGGGGGTGCTGCGTCGCTTGAACTGCAACAGCAAATAATTATTGTTGTTGTTTGCACGCACTATCTTGGCCGGCATGAGCGATCCGCTCGCTTACTTTGCATTGAGACAACAGACAGCACGAAAACCGCATTGCTCCAGCAGCGGTCATATGCCCTACCCCAGCATACGTTGTTTGCCTTACTTCACAAAACATAACAATTACTTGCTATTACATTCACTGCTTTGCCCTTGGAGCAAAACTGAGTTTTTCATGCTGTCACTAACCTTATAAAGAGTGCACCAAATGGTGATGATGATGATTATAGGAGCTCACATGGGTGTGCCACGCCGCGAGTGACAGAGCCACATGAAGGCATCAAAGACCGCTTGGGGGAAGTTTCGACGCAATAATGCGTTTTGAGGCAGGATGGTGGAGCATAAGCGGATTGGCGTAGCGTGGCGCAAATGGCGCAACTGGCATAGCACTTCCATTGATTGATATGTGAGGTTTAACGTCCCAAAACCACCATATGATTATGAGAGACGCCGTAGTGGAGGGCTCCGGAAATTTCGACCATCTGGGGTTCTTTTACGTGCACCAAAATCTGAGCACACGGGCCTACAACATTTCGCCTCCATCGGAAATGCAGCCGCCGCAGCCGGGATTTGATCCCGCGACCTGCGGGTCAGCAGCCGAGTACCTTAGCCACTAGACCACCGCGGCGGGGTGGCATAGCACTTCCACCCCGGCAATGTCTGATGTCTAAAGAGTGAACTCCGTTTCATGAGGCAATTCAGGTATGTGCAATAGAAATGTTTGCTCTTAAAATTCAAAAATGTTCATTTAACACAATATAACCGTGCAGCATGCCCACCTTTCTTTTGGCCTGAAACACTTCCCTATAGACTGGTACTTGTTGCTTGGCAGTCATCTCTCGCGGCCTGAAAAAACAAACGTATGCTTTTCAAAACAAGGTATTTGGATAATGCTGTCTGAATACAAAAAAATTACCAGCGCAAAATGGTGGAATGTTTCATCAGACGCACAGGGCTGTCCCTTTTTTCAGTGTTAGACCAACTCGGTTAATTTTTCTGTAATCGGCCAATTACCAGTCTACACCCACCACCATTTCCTGTTTTTTTTTTTTTTCTACATAATATCTCTACTTTTATTTCTTGGGGCATTTTATAAGCATCAGTTGAACAACTGCGATGAAAAATGTTTATCGTCAATCATCAAATCCCCCACACTATTAGACAACCACTTTCTACGATCCCTTCAAGAGTAGCAATCACTGAAATATAGCATATTATAATGCGTGCAATGTACATGATTATCCGACATTCTTGGGGCACATGTACTCAATACATTTTGAAGTTGGTGTCTATAATGTCATTGGGCTGTCATATTCAAACACAAAGAAGAGCTTTTTATGGAAAAAGTATTGCGGTTCCTTTTCAGTGAAGCACATTCAGAGGAATAAGTAAAGCATCATTCCAATCACAGTTATTTTTACGTCAGTAATTAAATTAGTTGGTCAGCTCAGTCTGTTACTTTTGCTCGTGCATTAGGTTTATTTGGCTCAAGGAAAGCAATGTAACGTTAAATGGCACTGCATGCGGAAAACTACACATAGCGTCTATTTAACATCAATCTCCTGTTAACACCACCACACCGATCCCGGTCGAAAGGCCGGTTGTAATTTCTTTTCAAAGGTGGCAACCCCAAATGTACACTAATATAAAAAAAAAAATCGCACATTTTTTTTTTTTTTTTCAGCTCAGCCATCTTAAGTGAAGCTGCGATTCCAAAAATGCGTTTTTGACAAGATCCATTTTGGGGCAACTTTTTGAATTTGGACATCATGCTTTTCGTATTTCTGATAGCCCAATCGGGATAAAATTTTGCCCACATAGTCCTTAACATGTGAAGGGTATAAAACTTGACAGAGCCTGCACAATTATTACAAACCTAAAGTAAGCAATTAGTATTGGCTTAGGATTCTAAGAATTCTCACATTATAATTGTTCTTGTTTATTAAAATGTCTTATACACTTTTACAAGTAATATCAAGTAATATGAGCCATTAATGGCTTATAATGATAGAAGTTTTGTGGCATATGAAATTTGTCCAAAACAACACACTGTCATGGCATAACTGTACAACTTGCTACAAAAAAATTTCATATCTGAAATCATCATAAAAGCCTATATATACCACAAAAATTTCATTCGCCTAGGCTACAGATTAATGCAACTTTTTTTCCAAATCTCATCTATACTTAAAGGTCACTAAACAGTAAGCTTCTCCGCAATCAAGGTATGGAACACTCTGCCTCTGGAGACTATAACTTTATCCCCATTAAATCTTCAAACATTCAGTTCGCCTTAACCTGAATCATTCTTCGAATTTCTGAATCATGTGTAGTTACTGTTGTTGCTTTTTTGTCACTTTTTTACAAGGCGTCTCATGTTTTCTTTATCCACGTTGATTAATTTTCTTGTGAAGCATTTATTAGTTTACACTCCTAACGATTGCATCGTTGCACTTTGTTAGGTTTTACTTTGCTAATTTATTTTCTACGTGTATTTCACAGTCAAATGTTCTAAATGTCATTGCATACCACAACGCGACTCCTACTATTTTGTATGCACATCACGCTTGTTTTTTGCTATTCTGCTCCTGTTTTTAATTTCTTTATATATTCCATAACAAGAGGACCCATTGCAGTGTTCACACAAAGGTACCTCTTCCTGTATACCTATCCCTATAGGTAATCCCCCTCCCCCCAATACACTCAATGAACTGAAACAAACTCCACACGTTTTACAGCACACATACTTCAATATGCACTACTGTGCTTATTAAGAAAACTGTTACATAAAACAAAGGTTTAGTAATCAAAATGTTTGTTTTTTTTTTAACATGCATTAGACATAAGTGAACTTTTGTACTGAAGTTACTCACCGGTTTTTGTTGTCCCGCGTAAAATTCCGATTCGGTTTTTTGCGGTCCAGGCCGAAAACAGCCTCTTTATACCTACACCGACAAGAGCAAGCACACATGTGTAGTCACGACTTCCGCAGATAAGCATTCCACAAACAAGTTTATCATTTAAGTTTTACAAATAAAAAATATGCTAGAGCTATTGTGGCTTTATGGGATAGTAGGTACACGAACTTACATCTTCAAACCAATCTTCTCTTTCAGAGACTGAAGCTCCTCGAAAGACATAGCCGACAGATCTGGAACACAGAAAACGACTCTTATATCGGCTTCGATTATTCGATAAGCTAAAGACTCACCATTTTTTATTTCCCCCTAGTGGATTTCAAATGAAGCCATGTATTAGTGCTCAACTCAGAAGACAGCGAACATACTTAGCGCTTAAACACAAACATCACCATACCTCACTTTTATCCTCCAGCTCCAGTCCATCTCCAGAGAAAGAACACGCGCTGTCTGTAGCATCGTCCATGTTTTCTTTACACAGATGACACCTATACACAGAACACCTACCAGTTTGCTAACCACACTCGTACCTGTACTAACAAGCGGTTACCTGTGCGGTTAACGCAGACCAAATATACAAACATAAACTTCATGCCGCGGAGCCGAAACACATGGCTTGTTCTGTGGCGTGCATATGGCCATATAAGAGTGTACTAGGAATGTTGAGTGGCATGACCGCAACTCGCCACCTGATCCCTTGCGTGTTGCCCGTAGCAGCGGCGCTGCAGTCGAACAGTACTGAAAGAGTCACGTGCCGTGCGCAGGAACTGCTATGCCCTTCGGCTCCTCCGTCACGCTTTCTTGATGCAGATTTTTTCGTACCTGCCCGTCATTCATGTCTAGCACACGATGCCATAGCCCTTGATATATGACACGCCAATCTACTGAATTTGAACTCCATGAAAGCCCTTGTAAGAGATCGGAAATAATTCAGAAAGGGCGTGTCTTATACTGATTTCTTCTGTCTCAACTCTTTCTCTTTGGTTAAGTGTCTACAATAATCAGGATAACGGAGCCGATTTATTGGAAGTTAGCTGTGCTCACAAATGTGTGAGAGTTAAAAAAAATACTGTTTCAAACGCACACAGAACCAGGAGGCCGTAAGTAGAGAGGGGAGAAGAAGGGATACTGAACCCCCTGCACCACGAAATCTTTCCGTAATTTAACTTTTTAGGGTATGCTAAAATATTTGCACGCATTCACAGCGACCACTAATTGCCAAAATTGATCCTTCTGCTGCACCCCCCCTCTCAAAAAAAAAAAAACATTCTGGGTGCAAGCGTTGCGTTGAACGTTTACAGTTGGCGAAGCTGAATATAGCGGGTCTCTGTAGAAATTCGCACTGTAAATTTCACCTTTTCGACAATATGACGTCTTAAAACTAGTTCAAGTGTAACGTAGTCAGACGAGAAATGCACCGCCTAAAAATAGTAGCTGTGCTAAGGGGCATTGCATGCATATTGGTAGTTGTGACGTGTGACTTAAATGTGCGTACTTGTGAATATATATATATATATATACGTCATTCTTTTTTTGTGTGTGTGTAGAAGTGGTTAGCTGTGCCGTGATCTGGAGGTGACCGCGAGGTAGCGTCACTGCTGGTACTCCCAGCGCTGAAAATGGCGGGATGGCCGGCCGTTTTTTAATAGTACTAGATCCCAGTAATATAAATCAGTACAAGTGATAGTTTTTCATCTCTTAGTTGCGTTTTAGGTCGCGAATTGCTGCTACGGGGTCTATAGCTACTCGCTGACACAAAAATCTTGGCATGAGTAAATTTGATGTAAGTGCTCCTTTAAATTTCTCAAAACAACATGCACCATTGCCTGCCTACACTTTTGACGCTTAATAATAGAACTACACTTATAAAAGAAAACATCGTCATAAATGTACTGGCTTCCAATGGCGTTACGTCAATTGAATATTCGGAAAGCAGTACATTTTAAGCTGTCGATACAAAATAAACTGGTTACAATGAATTTACGCAGATTAACAGACGGGCTATATATATAATATGCACTTTACGTTTGTGTGTTGTTTTTAATATGTTCAATATGTAATAAGCCTTTCAAAAAGCAATATTTGTTATCTTCCGCAAAACTGGCATAATAAAACTGAGTCGTCACCGATATAAATGTTGTAACAACGTTACTTATACTCGGGTTTCTCATGAAACAATCGAGTGAATGTAGGCTCATATGAAGAACACTGTGCTCTATATATCGTAGAGACTGCCGACAAAACAAGCGTATCATTTATTCGCGGTTTTGATACTTCTCCTCTTCTTGTAGTTCACTAGTAGCCACTTATGATGTAACACAGCTCAAAGCGCTGCTTGAGTGAGAAGCTAGGCGGATCCGTGCAAATTCCGAATGACTTTGTGTGTGTGTGTGTGTGTGTGTGTGTGTGTGTGTGTGTGTGTGTGTGTGTGTGTGTGTGTGTGTGTGTGTGTGTGTCGGCAGGCTTTTGAAACAGTGAATCAATTGCCGCAATTTCGGCATGCCTGCATATTCATTAGTGCACCATGGCGCGTAGCAGGTGCGTCCACTGATAAAGGCTCAGAAACGCGTTAAACACGCTAAAAACGGGCAATTACACGCTTTCGCAAGCTTCGGCACGTGCTCTCCTAATGCAGACGCTCCTGAGATCTTTAGTACCATGAGACAGCAGCGCCGCCGCTACTGTCACCCGCCAGAGAATCAGTCGAGATGCGGCACGGCCGCCTCGTTCATTCCACTGCCCTCCTCTAGTACACTGTAGGCACGTCTTGATTCTTGCCCGCTTGGCAGTCTTGACTTGGCCGTTTGGAAGGCTTGACGGTTCGTTATCCCGCACAGGCACACTCCTAGAGTGACTTAGAATATGGGTACAACACTTCTAGACACTAGTACACTCTAATATGGGAGAATCCTTCTTCCATGTATGAGTAGAGGTGTGCGCCGAGGGGTCGGCGTGCCGCCGTCGACGTGTTCTCTCAGCACGCCACTTAAATAATTTTTTTTAAGCTTACCTACATTTATTTTGCACCTTCTGTTACCAGTCTGGCCTTAATTCTGTCCACTTCGCAAACGCATTGAAATCGGTTCACCTGCCATTTCAACTTAAATAAGTGGACTATAAAAAAAACTTGTCGACTGCTCCTAATAATGTTGGATTAGATTTAAACGTGAATTTTAACATACTTTTGAGTACACTATGTTTCAGCGAATCCTAGTCAGGGACAGGGCTAACGGTGGTGTTTGGCGAGGATCGACATATTCTAGCTGACGAGAATTTTTAATAAGTGAGGCGGGCTTTGAACAATGATGAAAGGTGTGTAAAGTCGGTACTGGAATATTCATCATTATGACTGTGCAATCGAGTCGAAGAACAAAGGCAGTTAAAATGCGAAGGGTGGGGGCCAGAACTGGGGGCGGGCAAGGTAGAAGCGCGATGTGTATGCAAGATATTGTTATAACTGAGCAAAGGCTAGCTGTTTAGGGCATATTTACAGAGAAAGGTAAAATGACAATTATTATACGAAATGTCCTATCAATCAGAAACGATCCCCATTGTGTCAGCAGGTTGAGCTAGATCAACAATATTGGACGAAATGGTGATCACCATAAATTAAGTTAGTGTAAACTGTGAAGTAGCGCACAGAAGATGAATGCGGACAAAACACTGAAGTGTGGGCTTGTATTTTCCACATGCTTTGTCCTGCACACCATGCGATGCTCCACGCCGCGCTATCAAACCAAGTAATCTGCGTTTACTTCACCAGTTTTTATCTCGGACTTAATTCAACTAACTATAGATGCCGATTTGTCATAACCGTGTTTCAAAAAGGACACCACATATGTAGCTTACTCTGCGAGTTGGTTTAGAATGTTTTTGAAAGAACAAACTCAGGAGCTCAACCTGAAAGGACATAGAGCGAAATGTTTATGGCGGAAAGTCCACAAACCCATGTACCAGAAGCGCATTCATGAAAAATAGGCTGAGGCGTTTTACAGCTGCACACCTAACACTACAAAGGCAAGAGGCGTGTCAAAGTGGTTCAAACAGCACACTTCCATGATCAGGGCCCCGTGCACCCGCTATCTAGGAACGCAAATTCCTTATCTAGCTGTGAGGACAACTGAAGAATCACTTATACATGCGTTGCACTTTGCCTTTTTTTTTTAAGGCTTCAAATTCTTCACGTTCAATCTATTTCTTCCTTCGCCGATGACACTGATATATTGGGGACGCAGAGACAAGCTAAGAGGTCAGTTTTGTGCCTTAAGGATGTTCACTAGGCCTCGACCCGTATGATCTCTGTAGACAAGGCCACATGACAAAGGAATTTTTTTTCAAATTATTGTATGTCATTGGCAAAGGAAAAAAAAAAGAGATTGAACGCGAAACTCGTGAGGCCTTCGAAATAAAAACATAGCGAAGTGTCATGTGTGAGTGATCCCCCAGCTTTCCTCACAGATAAACTTTGGCGTTGATATTTTGGTATTTCATGGATATCGGCTGCTTCATACCACTACCTTGAAACATTTGTTGGCAAAATAAAATGTACGGTTAATTGTGCAACTGTTGTTTAGATAGCCTTTTTAAGCATGTGCTTTCGGTTAGTTTTTGTATGGGCTTTCTTTAATAACATTTAGTTTTAAATCCAGCACATGTCTTTTCTGGCTCCTACGCTTCATTCATGTTTTTCGTTGATTTCTTCTTGCGTAGATTGGTAAAGATCATCCCTATTAACGTCATGTGGGCATACCAACCTCCCTTCTACCATTTCTCATTCTCCCATATTTCACCATCGTGAACGCACACAAAAGGTCTTCATCAACGTGTGACATGAACAAGATATATGTGTTCCGATTATAAATCGGCAAACTCATTGATGAGTCTATTAAAGGAACTGAAAGACTCAGATCGAAGCGTGAGTCAGAGTCTGAGTTAGTCCGGCTGAGTTTTACCACGGTGCGTCTGAGTTCGAAGCGAGTTCCTAGTTCGGTTGAGCAAAATTTGGTAAGTCTGGGACCTTGCAAGTCCTATGCAAAAAAAAAGATTATTTTTTATTTTGCTGACCTATGGTTACAAATATTTAGTCTTATTTTATGGCGTGCATAGTACTCGTGTATGTGCCGCCGTGTAAAGCCACAGAATTGATTTTCTAAATTGCAAATCTGTCTAATTCCCCACACTCTTGGAACTCGTTCCAGAGAAGGTCTTTGATAAAAACTACTTGCTCATATCTTAGAATAAGGATGATAACCCTAACTTAAAGGCACGGAAAAAATGGCGACATAAAATGCACCACTGAGGCGAGATATCAACATTAAAATGCTAACATGACTCAAAATATAATGCATACTGCCTACTTCCAAGGTGAACATCTATTTGTAAATTTGTTTGCAGTGTCATGGACCTTATCCCGTTTCGCGCTGGCATGATGTCGAAATTTGAAGTTAGGATTTCGAACAAGACGTTAGGAGTTTCTCCTAAAAAAACTCGTAATTTTTGGTGATGTAATAGCGATTTTATGCACCGCGCTGGCTTCAGCTTTAATGCGTATAGGTAATGCGTTTATAGAGTTTACCGTTTGCATACTATGACAAAGTATAGGGAGCAATTTATGCTCATGCATGCTACAAAACTTGTATGATCTTTTCTCAGAGCAGAACGC